GTACCCTATAGGGTACATCAACAATATTAAAAGTGCAGGGGATGCATTTTGTTGTTCTGATAAACAAGATGGGAAATTGGACTAGGGTACATAATTATATTTCGACTGACTTCTGATGCAGCTTATAAAAAATCAAATGGTCGAGGCCGATTGATGAATGACGGAACTTTCACGTTAATCATTACATTTGGTATCTTTCATTTACTATCCGCTCCGTGCACAAGTAGTACCCCATTAACGGCCAGAAAAGGAGAGTTTGGGGTGATCTAGACTGGTTCCTGATCCATCCACTGCGTATTTCGAATGTCTCCAAAGTTATTGGAGGCGGAGATTAGTCTCAGAGACCCTTGCAAGTTGAATTCGAATGTATTCGCGCGCCGACGACGCCTGACGCTCTTGCGAAGACACGGTTGTTATAGCTTTTGCACCACTGATCTCTATATAAAGACTGGATAGCTAATAAAGAGCCGCACAATGTACGAATTTGACGCCATATTGGTGAGACCGGCTGGTGATCTACAAAGGACAAGTTGTCGTTTTTATAGACAGCATGATTTCTTTTGTAACGTCGCGGTTCACTTGACTTATATTTTGGCCACCACCACTGACCAACTGACCAAGGTTTACTACAATTTTTCTAACGTCGTGGTTACTTTTATAATGCCGCAAATCACTTTTTCGGCGTTTTTGAAATAATAATCACTACGGAAATGTGTCTTTTTTAGAACATCATAATATGTGTACACGACCAAAATGCGCGTCAACTGTTGATACAACGCGCGCGTATTTACGCGTAGAACGTTCGTATATACGCGGCCATCTTCGTGAGACCGGGGGCGAATTGGTCAATATGCAAAGTCTACTGTGTGAATGTTGTATGCATATCCGCTATCCAGTCTTTATATAGAGATCAGTGTTTTGCACACTCAGGAAGTCGTGCGTACTTTGCGCACGAACCAGTACACACCGTACGCGCACGCTGTGTCCCCCGTCCACGGAGCTATCAAAAGAGGTAAAAACGTGCCCTCTTTTGGTCGCGCACGGAGCCCATACTGGTGCTTCTTGGATTAATAAATTCAAGGTCATCCAACCCTTACATATTTTTAAAACAATGGATAGCAAAAATGGTAAAAGTAAAAGGGTGACAGAAGAGGAATTGTTGTCATTAACAAATTCATTCCAATTAAATCTAAAGCCAGAAATCACTATTTCTGATGAAAAAAATGTTTGTTTTGCCCGAATTTTAGCCTCGGTATGAAATTAATTGGGCTCAGAGACTGTTTCAATACCAATTTATTCGGGCGCTTAAAAAATAAATTTTGAAAGACATTTCACCCCCTATCCATTCAGATCTGAATTCTTTTGTAATTAACGATTGAACAAAATCGTTTGAAAATACGGCTTTCCGTTTCAATCAATGTCAATGGATGGCAAAAAGCCTGATCTCCGTCTCATAATTAAATTAATTGGGCGGTGCTTTTTAACGAACAGATTTTCTCGGTGCGCTTATAAAATCTTTGTTGATCATCTCTTTGAAGGATTGTTAAAAAAAAATAGAATTTCTGTCACTAACGATGGAACAAATTCATTCCAAAGCCGGAAATCGGTATTTCTGATGAAAAATGGTGCTGTTTTTTTTGTCTGAATGTTGGCCTAGGTATAAAATTAATTGGGCTGAAACTAAGTCATCACCAATTAATTCGGGGCGCTTATGAAATAGACTTTGGAAGTCACTTTACTGAAGTATCGAATTAGATCTGGAAATTTATGACATTTACGATCGAACAAAATCGTTTGAATATACGGTTTCCGTCTTACTTTTATCCCAATGGTGGAATGCGTCCGCCTTATATTGATCACGGGGAGACAGGGCTCAACGGTCGGCCGGTGCGCAGCGGTCCGCGCCTGCTAGCGCCGGACGGGCTGTGACTGGAACAATATTGGCCGCCGTACTCGGTAAAAAATTATTTTAAATTGGGATATCTGTATTTTCGTTGTAACACGGCTGTTTTGTACGTTAATTATCAATCGTTGGATTAATTTAATTGGGCTGACTCTGTTTGAATACCGATTTATTCGGGGCGCAAATAGAATACACTTGGGATGTCCCCCAACTCGTGTATGTAATTGGAATGGAACATTTCGGACATTTAGGATGGTACAAAATCTTTTCAAAATGGGATATCCGTATTTTCTTTGCAAAAACCGGTCTTTTGTATCGTAATTATCAATCGTCGGATTAATATAATTGGGCTGGCTCTGTTTCAAAACCGATTTATTCGGGGCGCGAATAGAATACACTTTGGATGTCCCTCAACCCGTGTATGCAATTGGAACGGGACATTTCGGACATTTAGGATGGTACAAAATCATTTTAATTTGGGATATCCGTATTTTCGTTGGAAAACGGCTGTTTTGTACGTTAATTATCAATCGTTGGATTAATTTGATTGGGCTGACTCTGTTTCAATACCGATTTATTCGGGGCGCGAATAGAATACACTTTGGATGTCCCTCAACCGTAGTATGCAATTGGAACGGGACATTTCGGACATTTAGGATGGTACAAAATCTTTTCAAAATGGGATATCCGTATTATCTTTGGAAAACGGCTGTTTTGTACGTTAATTATCAACAGTCGGATTAATTTAATTGGGCTGACTCTGTTTCAATACCGATTTATTCGTGGCGCGAATAGAATACACTTCGGATGTCCCTCAACCCGTGTATGTAATTGGAATGGGACATTTCGGAAATTTAGGGTGGAACAAAATCATTTCAAAATGGGATATCCGCATTTTCTTTGCAAAAACCGGTCTTTTGTATCGTAATTATCAATCGTCGGATTAATTTAATTGGGCTGACTCTGTTTCAATACCGATTTATTCGGGGCGCGAATAGAATACACTTTGGATGTCCCTCAACCCGTGAATGCAATTGGAACGGGACATTTCGGACATTTAGGATGGTACAAAATCAATTTAATTTGGGATATCCGTATTTTCGTTGGAAAACGGCTGTTTTGTACGTTAATTATCAATCGTTGGATTAATTCAATTCGGCCGACTCTGTTTCAATACCGATTTATTCGGGGCGCGAATAGAATACACTTTGGATGTCCCTCAACCCGTGTATGCAATTTGACCGGGACATTTCGGACATTTAGGATGGTACAAAATCTTTTCAAAATGGGATATCCGTATTATCTTTGGAAAACGGCTGTTTTGTACGTTAATTATCAACCGTCGGATTAATTTAATTGGGCTGACTCTGTTTCAATACCGAATTATTCGGGGCGCGAATAGAATACACTTCGGATGTCCCTCGACCCGTGTATGTAATTGGAATGGGACATTTCGGAAATTTAGGGTGGTACAAAATCATTTCAAAATGGGATATCCGCATTTTCTTTGCAAAAACCGGTCTTTTGTATCGTAATTATCAATCGTCGGATTAATTTAATTGGGCTTACTCTGTTTCAATACCGATTTATTCGGGGCGCGAATAGAATACACTTTGGATGTCCCTCAACCCGTGTATGCAATTGGAACGGGACATTTCGGACATTTAGGATGGTACAAAATCATTTTAATTTGGGATATCCGTATTTTCGTTGGAAAACGGCTGTTTTGTACGTTAATTATCAATCGTTGGATTAATTTGATTGGGCTGACTCTGTTTCAATACCGATTTATTCGGGGCGCAAATAGAATACACTTTGGATGTCCCTCAACCCGTGTATGTAATTGGAACGGGACATTTCGGACATTTACGATGGTACAAAATCTTTTCAAAATGGGATATCTGTATTATCTTTGGAAAACGGCTGTTTTGTACGTTAATTATCAACCGTCGGATTAATTTAATTGGGCTGACTCTGTTTCAATACCGATTTATTCGGGGCGCGAATAGAATACACTTCGGATGTCCCTCAACCCGTGTATGTAATTGGAATGGGACATTTCGGAAATTTAGGGTGGTACAAAATCATTTCAAAATGGGATATCCGCATTTTCTTTGCAAAAACCGGTCTTTTGTATCGTAATTATCAATCGTCGGATTAATTTAATTGGGCTGACTCTGTTTCAATACCGATTTATTCGGGGCGCGAATAGAATACACTTTGGATGTCCCTCAACCCGTGTATGCAATTGGAACGGGACATTTCGGACATTTAGGATGGTACAAAATCTTTTCAAAATGGGATATCCGTATTATCTTTGGAAAACGGCTGTTTTGTACGTTAATTATCAACCGTCGGATTAATTTAATTGGGCTGACTCTGTTTCAATACCGATTTATTCGGGGTGTTGTGTTCGTACGTCAATAATACCCGATTAAGGAGAGACTGAGATTAGGGATACTTTTCTGGTTGCTTCGTATTGTATTCACGTTCATAACACACTAGAGTACACACGTACTAGAATGTACAGGCGATCAACAAATGACGTCATACACTGGTTGCACTATAAATAGATCACTGCAGTCTGCATACACTACATCCTCTCCCCCCTTAATATGGAAGTTGTACACACACAAAAACATCATTTTCAACCCTATGAAAATGTCCTCGACTGAAAATACTGTCTATAAAGCAATGTCACACCTCACAAAAAAAATGCTAATCCTACAAACACTTGTTGCAAGAAAACCAAAGTTCAAAACAAAGAAAATCCTTTTTTCCATAATTAAATCCAAGTCCCTAGACAAGGTAGCAATGGCTTTTTTTCTCTTCCTGCCCTTAATTTGAATAAACGGAACTTCCCTTAGGATTTCCTTCTTGTTTGCTTATTTTTTTTCTTCTTTTTAACCCATGACATTCCAATACCGTACAATTTCAACTGCAACCTTTTTTTTTGTTTCAAAACTGCAACTCTAAAAACTTGTTTAAACAACTTGAGTAACACGATACATGTAAACATTAACACAACTGTAACAACTCAAAGTGCAGTGCATGCACCTTTTAACTCTCATGCAGGCCTCTGCGAACAACAGTTAGGTTATTCCATAGTCTCAATGAGTCTGTCTGGGGGTTTGCTGACCCTTGACGAGCGACGTAGGGGTTTGGGTGAAGCACTGGAACCTGCGGTTACGGTCGGTGTCGCCGATTGTGAAGTTTGCTCACCATTTGTGACGTTTGAGGGTGGCGCGTGTGTACGTTCTGTCTGAGGAATTTGCGAGCCAACGACTGGAGCTGTCTCAGCGGTAGGGATAAACACCGGAATGGATGCTAGGTCAGACCTATCAGTATCTTGGTGAGCTGAGGTGTGCATCCCATTCCTTGAGTTCTGAGAATGACTGGTTGTTGACCGTTCTGCTCTTCTCATCTGATCCACGTGTCTTTTCCACACTCGACCATCCTGCAAAATTACCACATAAGACTTTGGGGCTGTGCGCTCTGCGACTGTGGCCAGCCACCAAGTCTCTTTTCGGCGGAAATCCTTAACCAACACATCCTCCCCCGCATAGAACTCGCGGAGTTGGGTCTGTTTGTCGTGGTGCAACTTTTGGTTGCTCTGCATGTTGACCACCTTGCGTTCAACGTCCGGGCGTAGCAAGGACAAACGAGTACGCAGTTCGCGTCCTAGGAACAAACTCGCAGGAGTACGACCGGTTGTTGCATGTGTCGTAGTGCGATATGTCAACAGGAAACTGTCGATGCGTTGTTGCAAACTCCGACCACTCGATTTGCTCGAGCTGAGAGCGCGTTTGAAGGATTGAACCATTCGTTCTGCTGCACCATTACTTGCGGCGTGGTACGGTGCAACTCTTACGTGTTTTACGCCATTCACCTTGAGGAACCGTTGGAACTCCTCACTTGTGAATTGCGGTCCATTGTCACTGACAAGTTGGTAGGGGATGCCATACCTGCTGAATAAGTCTCGCAGCACCGTGATGGTTGCATTCGCGGTGGTGCTACTCATGTGGAAGATTTCTGGCCATTTTGCGTATGCGTCAATGACGATCAGGAAATCGTGACCATCTTTCTGCGCGAAATCGATGTGAATTCTGTGCCACGAAGAGCTAGGCCACACCCATGGCATTAGGGGTGCCACAGCTGGAAGGTGTCTAGTCTGTTGACAGCTAGCACAGAGACGAACAGTCTGTTCGATGTCGCGATCGATGTTAGGCCACCAAACGTAGCTTCGTGCAATTTCTTTCATCCTGACAATCCCTGGATGCGCATCATGTAACTCACCCAGAATGAACTTCTGGTACTTGTAGGGTATCACAACTCTTAATCCCCACAACAAACAGTCCTGTTCCGTGGATAGTTCGTGTCTGCGATTGAAGAAAGGTTTGAGGCGTTCGTCCCTTACCTCTGCTGGCCATCCACTTTTAGTGAACTCTAACACGCGCGAAAGCACAGGATCAGTTCTTGTAGCGTGTGAGATCTCCTTACTGGTCACAGGTAGGCTATCGAGGCGTTTGTCCTCGATGTTGTAGATAGCGTCTTCGTCGTTCTCCTCCATTGTGGGTAATGGGAGACGTGAGAGCGCGTCCGCGAGCACATTCTGCGAAGATGGAATGAACTGCAAGTCGTAGTCAAATGCGGACAACATTACAGCCCATCGCTGAAGACGTTGTGCTGCAAGGGTTGGAATCGACGTCTTGGGACCAAGGATTCGCTCCAATGGCTTGTGATCAGTCCGTATGGTAAATTTCCTTCCGTATAGATATGTGCGGAAACGCTTGAGACCAAACATGATTGCCAGGGCCTCCTTGTCCAGTTGCGCGTAGCCCTTCTCATGTTTATTGAGTGAGCGTGAAGCATATGCTATAGGATGTCTGGAGCCGTCAGCGTACACATGCAGCATGACTGCTCCAAGTCCATATGGTGATGCGTCCGTTGCGAGCTCGAGAGGGAGTGCTGGGTCGTAGTGAGCGAGAAGTTTGTCTGAACTGATGGCGTCCTTCACTGCCTCAAATGCCCTGGTACATTCATCCGTCCACTGCCAAGGACAATCCCCGAGCAGTTCGTTTAACGGATGGGCCATGGTCGACAGGTTGGGAAGGAACTGCGCTTGGAAGTTGACCATCCCCAACCATGAGCGAAGCTCTGTGACATTCTGTGGAACTGGAGCGTTGTGTATCGCGTCAACCTTGTCGTCGGTTGGCTGAATCCCTTTTGAAGAAATTCGGCGTCCCATGTAGATTACGCTCTCCTGCATGAACCGACACTTTTCGGTCTTCAACCTAAGACCGTATTTCCGGAATCTCTGGAAAACGTTCTTTACATTGCGGAGATGTTCCTCATCCGTCTTGCCTGTAACAAGCACATCATCCATGATTGCGCATGTGCTGTCCAGACCTGCGAGTACTTGTTCGATGAATCTCTGCCAAATTGCAGGACTCGATGAGATACCGAATGGTAAGCGTGTATACCGATACAGTCCCTTGTGCGTGTTAATCGTGACGTATTCTTGGGATTTGTCGTCGAGCAACATTTGCTGATATGCGCATTTCAAGTCGATTTTGGAGAATTTCTCCCCACCGGCTAGCTTGCTGAATACTTCCTCCGAAGTAGGTATGGGGTACTGATCGGTGTGGATTGATTTGTTTACAGTATTTTTGTAATCCCCACACAGGCGTACCGTGCCATCTGCTTTGGGTACACACACCAGGGGTGTCGCCCACTCGCTGAAATCAACTGGGTAGATGATTGTCTCTTGCTCCATTCTGGCGAGTTCCTTTTCGACTGCGGGGCGAAGAGCCAATGGCACTGTGCGAGCCTTGTGGAAAACTGGAATAGCGTCTTCCTTGACGTGCAGTGTTGCCTTAACTCCACGTACTGTGCCTAACTCTGGCTGAAAAATGTCCTTATATTCACTTTTCAACTCAGCGATTGGGTCAGATTTCACACCGTATTGACCCTGAGAAAACAGATTAGGCCAGTCCAGCTTGAGAACTGTCAACCACTCCCTGCCCAACAAGGGTGGTGCGTACTTGTCTGCGTGGACGATGATTAGTGGTAACGTTGCTTTCTGGTCGCCGTACTGAACCTCGACAACCAGTTGGCCCAAAATTCGCAATTGGGCACCCGCGTAAGCGTGTAGGACACGATTCACCGGTTGCATTGGAATGTGCCCCAAATATTTGTGATAGTCTGACTGGCTCATGATTGATGCAGCGGCACCTGTGTCAAGTTCCATTTGTATGGGAATGTTCGCGATCTTGACAGGAACCTTGATAGTTGAAGTACGGCTGTACGTATCGGCTGTCGTGTCTCCTGACGTATCCGCTTTTGACTTATCGGAAGTCGTAACCGTAAAAACCGAGTCGACGAATGTACTGTCATCGCGACATGCGTCATCAGTGGGATCGTAAAGTTCGCGAGCGTTTTCGTCGTCTCCCACATAGCGAACGCGTCCTTTGGGCTTGGTTCGCTGTTGGGGCGTGTATTTCGTGGTTGGTGGTGCAGGGCCTGATTTACTATCAGACTTGCACTCTGACTGCAAATGTCCCACTTTCTTGCACTTGTAGCATGTGGCACTCTTGTATCGGCAATCATCGCGATTGTGATTGTTCAGTCCACAGCGGTCGCAATGCTTCCTTGGTTGCGACGACCTCGGCTTTTGCCATTTTTGATTACGCTTGTAGTGAGAAGTCACCCTATTCACTGGTTTAGTCTCCACAGTGCCCATGTCTCTCACATTCTTTGCAGCAGCCTCCTCTGCGAGAGCAAGATCCAGAGTTTGTTGGAAATTGTAGTTGCGTGCGAGCAGTTTCTTTTGGATGCTCTCAGACTGCAGCCCACAGATGAATCTATCGCGCAAACTCTCCTGCAGTTGATCCCCCGCAAAGTCACAATATACAGCCATTTTCTTCAAATGAGCAACGTATTCACAGATCGATTGTCCTGGCATTTGTCTAGCATTATGAAATCGAAATCTCTCTGCGACTGCCAGTCTCTTGGGTCTGTAGTGTCCCCGTAACAGTTTACACAAATCCTCGAATGACTTTTCCTTGGGTTGTTGCGGAAAAGACAAGTCCTTAAGTGTCTTATATGCCGTGAAACCAATGCTGCTCAACAAAATAGCCTTGCGTTTGACAGCGTTTGCCTCTGTCTCCGCAATGTCCACAGCAATGAAATACTGATCAAGTCTCTCCAAATATGTATCAATATCACCGTCCACTGGGTTAAATTCCTCGAACACAGTTCTCTGAAAAGTCGCCATTATTGTTTATCGTAGAACGTATCGTTACTATGCGTCGTCAACCATGCATGGAACAATGGCGATGTACATGTACGTTGTACTGTGTACCGCGTATCGTGTGTGCAAAAGTTATCACCGTACGTGTCGAGAAAACTTTGCAAAAAGTCCGTGAAAACTCACCGTCGTTTCACACAATTACAGTCCGTAGATAATCCAGTGCGTAACCCGTGTGTTCAAGGTTCATCCTCGTCGCCACTGTTGTGTTCGTACGTCAATAATACCCGATTAAGGAGAGACTGAGATTAGGGATACTTTTCTGGTTGCTTCGTATTGTATTCACGTTCATAACACACTAGAGTACACACGTACTAGAATGTACAGGCGATCAACAAATGACGTCATACACTGGTTGCACTATAAATAGATCACTGCAGTCTGCATACACTACACGGGGCGCGAATAGAATACACTTTGAGAGTCCCTTAACCCGTATATGCAATTGGAACGGGACATTTCGGACATTTAGGATGGTACAAAATCATTTCAAAATGGGATATCCGTATTTTCGTTGGAAAACGGCTCTTTTGTATCGTAATTATCAATCGTTGGATTAATTTAATTGGGCTGACTCTGTTTGAATACCGATTTATTCGGGGCGCGAATAGAATACACTTTGGATGTCCCTCAACCCGTGTATGTAATTGGAATGAGACATTTCGGAAATTTAGGGTGGTACAAAATCATTTCAAAATGGGATATCAGCATTTTCTTTGCAAAAACCGGTCTTTTGTATCGTAATTATCAATCGTTGGATTAATTTGATTGGGCTGACTCTGTTTCAATACCGACTTATTCGGAGCGCGAATAGAATACACTTTGGATGTCCCTCAACCCGTGTATGCAATTGGAACGGGACATTTCGGACATTATGGATGGTACAAAATCTTTTCAAAATGGGATATCCGTATTATCTTTGGAAAACGGCTGTTTTGTACGTTAATTATCAATCGTTGGATTAATTTGATTGGGCTGACTCTGTTTCAATACCGATTTATTCGGGGCGCAAATAGAATACACTTGGGATGTCTTCCAACTCGTGTATGTAATTGGAATGGGACATTTCGGAAATTAAGGGTGGTACAAAATCATTTCAAAATGGGATATTCGCATTTTCTTTGCAAAAACCGGTCTTTTGTATCGTAATTATAAATCGTCGGATTAATTTAATTGGGCTGACTCTGTTTCAATACCGATTTATTCGGGGCGCGAATAGAATACACTTTGAGAGTCCCTTAACCCGTATATGCAATTGGAACGGGACATTTCGGACATTTAGGATGGTACAAAATCATTTCAAAATGGGATATCCGTATTTTCGTTGGAAAACGGCTCTTTTGTATCGTAATTATCAATCGTTGGATTAATTTAATTGGGCTGACTCTGTTTGAATACCGTTTTATTCGGGGCGCGAATAGAATACACTTCGGATGTCCCTCAACCCGTGTATGTAATCGGAATGGGACATTTCGGAGATTTAGGATGGTACAAAATCTTTTCAAAATGGGATATCCGTATTAACTTTGGAAAACGGCTGTTTTGTACGTTAATTATCAATCGTTGGATTAATTTAATTGGGCTGACTCTGTTTGAATACCGATTTATTCGGGGCGCGAATAGAATACACTTCGGATGTCCCTCAACCCGTGTATGTAATCGGAATGGGACATTTCGGAAATTTAGGATGGTACAAAATATTTTCAAAATGGGATATCCGTATTAACTTTGGAAAACGGCTGTTTTGTACGTTAATTATCAGTCGTTGGATTAATTTAATTGGGCTGACTCTGTTTGAATACCGATTTATTCGGGGCGCGAATAGAATACACTTTGGATGTCCCTCAACCCGTGTATGCAATTGGAACGGGACATTTCGGACATTTAGGATGGTACAAAATCATTTTAATTAGGGATATCCGTATTTTCGTTGGAAAACGGTTGTTTTGTACGTTAATTATCAATCGTTGGATTAATTTAATTGGGCTGACTCTGTTTCAATACCGATTTATTCGGGGCGCGAATAGAATACACTTTGGATGTCCCTCAACCCGGGTTTGCAATTGGAACGGGACATTTCGGACATTTAGGATGGTACAAAATCTTTTCAAAATGGGATATCCGTATTATCTTTGGAAAACGGCTGTTTTGTACGTTAATTATCAACCGTCGGATTAATTTAATTGGGCTGACTCTGTTTCAATACCGATTTATTCGGGGCGCGAATAGAATACACTTCGGATGTCCCTCAACCCGTGTATGTAATTGGAATGGGACATTTCGGAAATTTAGGGTGGTACAAAATCATTTCAAAATGGGATATCCGCATTTTCTTTGCAAAAACCGGTCTTTTGTATCGTAATTATCAATCGTCGGATTAATTTAATTGGGCTGACTCTGTTTCAATACCGATTTATTCAAGGCGCGAATAGAATACACTTTGGATGTCCCTCAACCCGTGTATGCAATTGGAACGGGACATTTCGGGCATTTAGGATGGTACAAAATCATTTTAATTTGGGATATCCGTATTTTCGTTGGAAAACGGCTGTTTTGTACGTTAAGTATCGATCGTCGGATTAATTTAATTGGGCTGACTCTGTTTCAATACCGATTTATTCGGGGCGCGAATAGAATACACTTTGGATGTCCCTCAACCCGTGTATGCAATTGGAACGGGACATTTCGGACATTTCGGATGGTACAAAATCATTTTAAATTGGGATATCCGAATTTTCGTTGTAAACTGGCTGTTTTGTACGTTAATTATCAATCGTCGGATTAATCTAATTGGGCTGACTCTGTTTCAATACCGATTTATTCGTGGCGGGAATAGAATACACTTCGGATGTCCCTCAACCCGTGTATGTAATTGGAATGGGACATTTCGGAAATTTAGGATGGTACAAAATCATTTTAATTTGGGATATCCGTATTTTCGTTGGAAAACGGCTGTTTTGTACGTTAAGTATCGATCGTCGGATTAATTTAATTGGGCTGACTCTGTTTCAATACCGATTTATTCGGGGCGCGAATAGAATACACTTTGGATGTCCCTCAACCCGTGTATGCAATTGGAACGGGACATTTCGGACATTTCGGATGGTACAAAATCATTTTAAATTGGGATATCCGCATTTTCGTTGTAAACGGCTGTTTCGTAGGTTAATTATCAATCGTCGGATTAATTGAATTGGGCTGACTCTGTTTCAATACCGATTTATTCGGGGCGCGAATAGAATACACTTTGGATGTCCCTTAACCCGTGTATGCAAATGGAACGGGACATTTCGGACATTTAGGATGGTACAAAATCATTTCAAAATGGAATATCCGTATTTTCTTTTCAAAAACCGGTCTTTTGTATCGTAATTATCAATTGTATGATTAATTTAATTGGGCTGACTCTGTTTCAATACAACTTTATTCGGGGTGCAAATAGAATACACTTTGGATGTCTTTCAACCCGTGTATGTTATTGGAACGGGAAATTGCTGGCATTTAGGAGGGTACAGAATCATTTTACATTTAAATACCTGCGTACGTACGTGTCATAAAAGTATCGTAGAGGGCGCTAAACAACCCTGTAGTTTGGGAAAAGAAAATTGCGGCCGGGCCGTTTGACTTTGAGCATTCATTTTGATTACGATTTACTTTAGAGTCGAATAAACATCAGTTTCAGTTATTTAAGGTAATTCACTGTGATAAGAAGTTGAACTTTCTTTATAATTCGTTTTCTCCTAAGGTTTATTTGCAATGGTTGTCTAGGGCCACCGTAGTGGTAATCTTCACGGCGGCGCGCCGCCGTAAAAATAGTGCCTAGCCGAAAATCCGGCCAGCCGAAAATCTGGCCTGATTTTCGTGCCAAGATCAGCCTGGTATTTTAACGTAGGCAGGGAACTTCCAAAACGCTTTATTTACTCCAAATTAACTGCCGGATTTTTCGAAAACTGTGAGGTGAATCTCAAAGCAGCCTTTACTCTTTGCAAGGTTGGTACATTATAAATCCTTCGTTTTGTGTCAGTTCTGTTTATTTCTGTTTAAAGTTTGACAATTATACCCCATTTATTGAAAGGTCCGTCGTAATTTTGGTGGAAGTTTGTGCTGGTGTGGTGCGCCGAGCTGTCTGGTCAAAAATTCGCCACACGTCCTGGCGATATGGCGCTGGCATGGCCGGCGCAGGTGGCAGCCAGAGGGTAGACTTGGCAGAAGAGCACACGGTCGTCGTTTGTATTTCAATTGTAGTTTATTTTTGCTTTAGAAGCATACTCACCCTCTTTTAATATAGGCTAATATTATAGGCTAATTTTTGTGTGTGAAATTTCCAGATTCGTTTGCACACGTTTGCGTAGATCAAAATTTCAACATGAAATTTCACGAAAATTAGACATCTGAAAAAGGCAGCACTTTCTGATTAGCCTATAAAGAGGGTGAGTAGGCCTATGCTTCTAAAGCGAAAATAGGGAAAAATTCCATACTGGGCCACGACTTTACCTGCCGCTAAACACATCAATTTTCACCTCACCTTGTGATTTCACCCAAGAGGAATCCAGGAAGCTGTGTAGTGTGTTAATGCGAAACAAAATTAGGCAAAATGTGTTTTTAGAGCCCATTTTGGATGCACACGTCGTGCAGAACTAAGTTGAAGCAGCCAGTCAAAACTGATTGAAGTGTGGCTGACGATAGACAGCGGTACGCATGACGCATGACATCGACAACCATGACGTCGCATGAGCCGGCCAATGATAGTGCAATACGTCATGAATATTTATTTCTCATGAATATTTAGTTTATTTCAATGGCTACTTCAAATACGTCCAAAGATTGATTATTGCAACAGCGATCGTGCGCGGCCTAGCGGTTAAGAGTCTCGTGTTTCAAGCAAGAGTCCGAGGTTCGAATCTCGATGAAGTAAGTGACTGATAAATAAATAGGAATAAGGAAAGGAGAGGGTGAGAGTAGAGGAGGGAAAGTGGAGGGAATAACCATAAAGGATACAACTTTTGGCGCTTGAAAATTAATTGAAAAAAAAGTTGTGGCCCAGTACGGAAATTTCCCCCCCCCCCCCAAAAAAAAAATAACAAACTAAGCCTAAATGTGAAAATCAAAATTTGACAAAGTTCGACATGTTTTTGTACATGGTGGAAGTGTGGCCTTTATTTACAGAGGTACATGTAGTCCAGTAAATTGGCCACATTTATGGGGCTAGCCTGTTGTAGGCAGGTAGGGACTAGGGAGTCCCGAGAATTTCATTTTTTAGTGAAAAAAATAGGCCCTATCGTGATTTGTAAATTGTATCACTGAAAAGAGAATTATCCGGTACCCAACAAAATCAATGGCGTAACACCACTTTTTCAAGCGCCAAAAAGTTGCATCCTTTAATGATGGTCATGATGGTTATTTCCTCCACTTTCACTCTACTCTCACCCTCTCCTTTCCTTTATTCCCATTTATTAATCAGTCACTTACAGTTACATGTACTTCATGGACATTCGAACCTTGGACTTTTGCTTGAAAGACAACACTTTTTACCATTAGGCACTAGACCACGCGCACGATCGCTTTGCAGTGATCAATCTTTGGACGTATTTGAAGTAGGCCCTATCCATTGAAATAAACTAAATATTCATGAGAAATTCAATATTCATAATGACGTATTGCACTATCATTGGCCGGCTCATGCGTTGTCATGGTTGTCGATGTCATGCGTATAACGTACAAATGTACCGCTGTCTTCCAGACACTTCAGTCAATTTGACCGGTGTTTTCTTGGTAAAAACTTCAATATTTTCCCTGCTTAATTTTACTTTTTAGCACATATCACTTTCTGATGGCTAATAGGTCACTAAAGGGAAAAATTAGTGATGGCCAGATATGGAAATCTTTCCCACATAGGAATCCCAATTAATTAAATAAACATAAAGTTGATTCTTGAATCAGGTTTTTACCACTCATAACAAAAAAGTTGCAATTTTTTTCCCTGGACCTTCGCACTGTCCAGGCACGCACCGAGCAAACACCGCAATGCGGCCAGACAATGCCAGATGGCCCGCCGTTACGCACGGGCAAAGTATAGTTCCGATCCCGCTCCACACAACGCAGCACACGGAATATGTGTCCACACATTATCCCTGTTAAAAAGTGTTATAAATACTGCATGCCAGACAAAGTCTGGCAATGGCTGATTTCGCTCCACACAACACCGCAACACGGAACGTGCATGCACGCGTTATTACTGTTACCGCGTGCCAGACTATGTAAGTCTGGCACCAATGCCATCAGTGTACAATAACATGCAGTAGTAGACTAGTCTGGTTGCAATGGCATCTCATCGTTGTACAAAACTCTCTCGTTTCGCCTCTGTACCCCGACCTTTAAAAATGCTTTGCAGAAAGTTGCGGAAAGCTTTCAATCATTTCTTTTTATATGGTACCACTGTTTTAATAAAAGTCTGAACTGTGTGGGTACGAATGTGCCAGTCCGTACCATTTGTTTATAAAGTTATGATAAAAACAGTTACGATTTATCAAGTAGATATAAATTTTACACAGTTGTTTGAATGAAAGTGCCGGCTCACGCAATCTGTCAATATGGAAAGCGTGAGTTGAGAATTCGTTGCTTTTCCATCCAAGTGAATGCAAAGTTGTGAAGTAATGTTTTTGATAATAGGAGTCGGTATTCCTCTTGGTATCAGGATACTTTTTGTATTTCTAAAGTTACAAATGTACGTTGATACATTGTACTTTATTAGCATGGTTTGAAATTGACTAATTTTGCGTGGTTACAGATATATATACGGCCCCAAACCACTGGAAATTATGCAGTACTTAGGCCTCTTGTTGTAATTTGCAAATGGAGGAATGAGAGAAAAAGACGGACTGATGCATGGTGGTAGAACTAGAAGTACATTTTTGTAACTCATCCAGCATGTCCAGTCAGCTGTGTGTGTGTTAGCCCCAATGTGGCTGAAATACTGGACTACCTCCGCATAATAACCGCCACAAAATGCTAGGGATCGAAAAATCAATTTGAAATTGCAATTAATTATTTTGTCACTTTATACTTGTGACACAATGCCGTCTACAACTGCTTAATAGCAACAAAACGTTAACACACTGAGTATACAGTGTTTATACGTTGGTGAAGGGCAAAAACCTAATTTGATTTACATCACCCAGATGCAAAATTCCATATTATAAACAAAACGTAAATTCTGTACCTTCAGAGGTCTAGAAGTTTATCCTGTAATTTTGGGTTGAATATGGACGAATGCATCATGCATCATGTGCATGCAGGCGCCAGTTTTTGAACAATACTGAATGATACGCAAACAGCCATTTAAATTTTTCTTTCTCACCTCAAAAACTAACTTTTTCTTGTATTTCGCTTTAACAAAATACATAAAACATGTTTAACGTGAATATCTTGACTCTACTTACCAGTAGGATAGCTACAATTTTTGTGTAATTAAAAGCTGGCCATTTTGAACCGAAGTTGGCTGCCATTTTTAATTTAAATACTTGGCGGCCATCTTGTTTTTACTGTACATAAGAGCCAACCTCCTGCCCTGTGGTTACGATCTTGCAGCGCCATATTGTTTCCCATCATGCCTTGCGCGATCGTAACCCCTGGAATTGTGTAATTTAAATATACCAAAATACAGTACATTATAATTAGGGCTGCAGTTTATCTGTTTTACGTGCCGACGCCATCTTTAAATGTTAAAAAGTTGTGATTTTGAAGAATCAATCCTTTCAAACACAACGTTTGGACGTTGTGTTACTTAGTAAAGATTTGTATTAAATGTACGTACATGTACCCCTTTCGTGCCTTTACAACCACAGATACAGGTTTTTTTGTAGCGAAAAACGCGGCTGACATAATCCATATCGTATAGGCTTTGCGACTTTTGAATCATAATTTTTTTTTTCGTACGTGACGTTACGTGCAAAGCTAAGCGAGCGAGGGCGAGCGCATTATGGGCGTGCCCGGCGTGCAATCTTCGAAATGCCCGCGCAGTACGCTGTGAATAGCCATGCAGTGTCATTTACGTCATCACAGCCAGGGGTTAGTGTAAGGAACGAGCACGCGCCCCTGGAGTCGAGGCTGCATAAGAGCCATTGAAACTAACTTTGGGCAACCAGAAGAGGGCGGCATTGTAAAAGAATAACAAAATAGTGTTTATTGTCTTTTGGATACAAAGTCTTCTTTCAGCGCTGTAAAAAAAATGTTCATCAAAGAATTCAAAAAACAAAACAAATAGACCTATTGCATGTAAATTTGCAAATATCGTGTAACACTGGTTTTGCTTTGAATAGTTTGGTTTTGCTTTGAAGTACATGTATGAGTACTATACCGAATACATTTGTACCTAAAAGTTACACATACCGGTACGTACAGCAGCGAACAGTACCGATACGTTTCATGCTCATATTCTGAGTGGTGTGAGTCCCTGTGTTTCAGTCTCATAAGGAAATGCACGCCAAAAATCAATTACTTTCCCTTTTGCTATTGTACGTGCCTAAAGGCAAGCATATTGTACAGTGATGTTACAGTGTACATGTATGTGCATTGATTTGGCTCCAAGCACTTAATTAAATACGATTCAATACACAGGGTAATAGATACTAAAGCGTAGGGTTTGAATACTTATTTGCTTGTAGCAGAAGTAGACTTGCGTCAGTGGTGGCTGCTGTTTTGGAGCCAGTTAATTACAAATGTACCGTACATGTGCAATTGTATGTTTCATTGATTGGATATATATCAAGAAAACTCTACTTTTCCTTCTATGCTCAGGAACGCTCGGAATGTGTTGATTGAGACCGTCTTTCATTTAATTATAAATATGTTTATAGACTCTTTGAGACGTTCTTGAACTAATTGACATACTCTGCATAATGTCTTATTGCAGCCTGAACTTGCTGAGGAATATCTTGCTATTTTTAACTACACTACAAATAAATAATATTCAGTGTAGATGGATGTACATT